CAAAAGATGCTTGATTTAGGAGTTGATATATTGAAAAAACCTGTGATAACAAAAAAGTTTAAAATTTCAATGAGTTCAAAATTTATTCATCCATGTATATTAGCTATAATTTGAGAGAGTACTTGTTTGATGCTAGTCTTATAATTAGAATTCACTTCATGCTTAAAATAAATTACACTTGATAAAAAGCCATTATGTTGTTTCTTTAAGAAACATCTTTTCTTTGGCAGGAATTTCCTTATCTTCTAGCTAGGGAGTGATTAAAATAATGTACAACATGCATGTATTCGTGGGATCATAATGCACATGATGAAAGGTTTCATCAACATGAAAAACTACTGGATAATTAGGCAGTGCATTTACTGCTCTTACCATTCTTGGTTGTAACGAGGGCCTTAACAGTTCAACGGCTTCACAAAATTCTCTGAGGGAAACTTTGCAGTGCAAGAACACTGTTTCCATCAGATCCATTAAATAAAATGTGAAGGCTGTGGCAGGTTTATCAGGAGATGCTGGCCACAAGTTGTTCTTTATTAGTGTTGTGGTTGGGTGATAGCAGTTACAAAACCAAACTTTTTTTGAATACTGATTGCCTACAATTAAAAATAAAATGATAACTGAATGAAAACTTGAAAGGAATGTTATTTATTTCAAAATGAATTCCAAAAAGATTCTATTATAATCCAAAAAATAATGTGCTGCTTAATCTATGGAATGCAGCATATATGAAGATGATACGGTCGTCATCAGTGTTGCATATATCTATACTAATCAGCAGACCAGGACAAGAGTACATGACTACATTATCTTTAGTTAATAAAGTACCTTTTAGTTTCTTCAATTACAGATTACTATGTGCAAAGCTAAACATTCTCATACCGTGCTCATCAATACACACAATGTCTCTTGCTTCAGCAGATCCACAGTTGCATTGGAAACCTAATGGTAATCCGTTGACCACATAAGGGGTGAACATCCCCTCCTGAAATTAATTAAAATATACAATAACATTACTTACTTTTAGTAGAGACACCAGCAATATATTAATAAATAGTAATTATTATATGGCTGTGTCTCACGAAGACTGGGAACTACCAAATTCACAAATTTGATCAATTGGCTGAAATCAATGTTGAAAGCGGTCTAGATTTTCTCATCTAGACCAGCATCTAGACCAGTCTAGGAAAAACAGGTAAAAAGTATATAAAAAAATGGCATATAAGACACAGCCATGTAATAAACATCTTATTAACCGAGCTAGGTCAGTCTGTATGACAGAATCTTGACCTTGGTCACTGGTACAGACCTCACTGTATTCGGTCTGTACTGGTGATCTCGGTCTCGATTCTCCCATACAGACCTCCCGCTCGGTTAATAAGAATAAGAACTACATGAAAAGGGGTACAATGAATATTTTGATTCATTGCACTACAGACAGCATGACAGCTGAATTGACAATATACTCTATGTTACACAACAACAACAACATTTTTATTTCTACCTTGAATTGATACAAGCTCTAAACATTTTTAGCGAAGAAACAGTTTGTAATAGTTTCTCTACTGAGCTCCATATTTTTGTACCTATGAATTTGATAATGAATTTGTCATAATTTGTTTTTGCTTTTGGAAGATACAAGTTTTTCCTTGCAGCAGATCTTGTTTGACAATTACACCAGGTTTATATTCATATAATTTTTATTTGGATGAAAATTAAAACTTTTGTTCTTTTTTAACTACTTTATTCATATATTCCTTAATAACTGATATGCAATAGATCAGCTTACAAAAAAGGGGCGAGAATAATAATGTCAAACAAAAGTTGGTCCCACAGCAGTTCGATCGGAAACCTCTCGGAGCAGAGTAGAGAACCAACAAACTCAATCCACTTATTACATTTCGAAACTCACCTTCCATTTTTCCAAAACATGAAAATGGTTCCTCACACTGTGCAAAATATTAGCACATTCAAGGCAGAAGTACTGCTTGGGGCCACAATATTGACATCGCAGTGTTGCTGGTTCTTGGAGGCAGTAAACACATGTTGTGTCAGTCGGAAAACAGCATTCCTCCACATAAGAATCAAACAACTGTCTTCTTATGTTGTCCCATTTCTGGATGTTGGCGATATGTCTTTTCTCGTACGAAGATAGACCAGAACCGCTCTCACTAAACTCCTCAAACGAGAAAGGTTCGACGATCTCAGGTTGTTCATTTTCAACTGAACAGGTTCGTGGGGTACGAAGCGTGGATTCCGCCGTTAGCGAAAAAGTTTTCCTCGATTTCTTTCCACTTTTGTCTACAAAAGTAGCGTCGAAAGAAAACGGCTTAAGCCGCTTTCCGCTCATTTGAAGTTATGTAAATAAGCCACCGTCCATAAAACACACGCTGGATAAAACAAAGGAGAAATAGCTCTTGGTGATAGAACGACCGAGAGGAAATCTGGGAATGTTTGACAACGAGAATGCTAAGAATGTATTTTGAAGTGGGCTGAGCCCAGCAAGGGAAATTTCTTTCTCCGGGGTGAGCCCATTTCCTCCGAGTGAACCGGGTGCACTTGAAAAGGGTCAACAAAAAAGACGAGTGGATTTTTGACTCCTTTAACAAATTTAAGATTATTCTCTGTATCTAGTGAATACATAATCAAAATCATGGTTGAGGCATGATAGAGATGGAAAACAATCATGCATGAGCACTGCTTCCAGGTATTCTTGGCAGAAGAGAGATAATGGGGAAATAAATAAGATTTAATGATCTCTAAGAAAATAGTAAAAATAAAGACAAAACTGGCCCCTTTCATGGATTAATGATTATTCTCTGTATTTGTAAACAGTTCTAACAAAATAAAAATATTTGTTCAGCGAAGAAATGCTAGTGCTGAGATAACAATTACAGAAGCTAAAAAAATAATGAAATATAGAAAAAAATGTACTGAAACATGTGACAATAATAAGTGAAAGAAGGCTCTTTACAAAAATGTATGTATCTAACATAATAATAAATCAGTCGCAGCATGAACCCTTGTAGAACGGGACATATTTTAAACCCATCTCAATGGTGAGGCGTTGAGCATACGGGGATGCATGGAGTCTTTAACAACTAAGTTCAATGTCTTACAGAGGCTTTATTTAAATCATAGCGGCTCATTACGTTTTCGTGTTTGTTACATTGATGTTAACAACAGTTTGTAACAATTTTTCGCTCTAAGAACAACCAGAAGAAAGTATAACACAACAAGAGCTGATTGTTAGAGATTCAACCCTGACACACGTGCATTAAAGTGAGAATTGATTAAATCCACTGTGCTTATCTCTCTAAAGGCCAATGAAAATGGATTAAATATACTTTTTTTACCGATTACATTCATTCATAAACTTTCTTTGCGGCAGAATCATGGGCAAAAACGTATTCACTGGTTGTTGAAAGAAATTACACCTCGGTTGACCTAGTCATTCTGTGGTACGCACGGTATTTTATTGCTAACGATCTCACACTCGTAACACTGACAATGCAATACTTAAACTGAACAAAGTTATTCTTTGACACGGCCATTTAAGCTTATAGACGTGTTTACTCGTAAACACCTAAAATTTCACTTCGGCAATCTTATTTGAGGAAACATTAAGGCTAAGACTCTCTGAACGCTTATCTTTGCAACTTCTCGAACCCGCCGGTAAAAGCCCATCATTCATAATATAGCCTTGAGCATTCGTCCCAATAAGTAAATGTTACAGGTAACACTGTAGAGAACACTTTCCAAACTATTTTGTGTTTTCCAAAATAGCGTTTTCCGCCAGAAATGGTTTATTTAGGAGTAAATTTAGTGTCAATTCCGCAAAAATACGTCGGATAACACCTTTTTTTAAAGACGTAGAGGGAGGGTGACCTCAAAGTGGCACTATCCAGGCAGAAAGCACGGAAATGTCTCATAAATGATAGCACCAGAAATACTTCGATTTTCACGGAGGAAGGAAAAGAGTCGTATCAAAAGGGCAAAACTTTGTTTAATTCCACGGACAGTTCTGCACGATGAAACGTCAAGTGCTGCAGAAATTCTGCAAGGTGTAACGTCAAGTGTTGCCGAAATTCTGCACGATGAAACGTCAAGTGCTGCAGAAATTCTGCACGATGTACCGTCAAGTGCTGCAGAAATTCTGCACGCTGTAACGTCAAGTGCTGCAGAAATTCTGCACGGTGTAACGTCAAGTGCTGCAGAAATTCTGCACGATGTATCGTCAAGTGCTGCAGAAATTCTGCACCATGTTACGTGTAGCGTTGAAGAAATTCTGCAGTAGTTTCAGATAAGAAATTTTAAGGGTCCTAATCTATACCGTCATTTTCAACTCTAGTTTTTTAATGTTTTTCTATATACGAGATTAAATCAACAATACTCTTCATCCTGACGCTTTTTGCATGCTATTAAATAAAACAAGTGAAATGAACCTCGCGGTTGGAATCTAAGGGCTCCCAACGGGACCCATAGCTTTAATGAGAAGGTAATTCAACCTACAAATCAGACTTACATCAACAAAAATGACGTTTCTTGTCAACTCAACATATTGGCTACAAAATACGGCATCATTGTTGAATTGCGTGAGGCTTATTGGATGAAATAAAATCAACATTCCTTTTCTCCAAAAAAATTTTTGATAACATAAACTTTGTCAATTGAATTGTTTACTTTAACAAGTAGATTGTCATTGACATATAAACTAGGAAGATACAAGACTACAAATTTTAGTCTCTATCGCTGCTTGTTCGGAAGGCAAAGCGGTACTGTCTATCCTAACTGCGCTTCGCCCTTTCCTCAACGCAGCCACCCTTGCACAGCCATTGGGGGTTCCAGCATCAATAACCACGTCCCCTTCTCTGGAGAGGTTTTCTACAAGCCATGTGTAGCCTTGTGCTGGGAGTGAACTTTCTTTATTCAGGAAAATCAAATTTTCTCTACTGGCGGACAAATGTCTCGAGGTTATTTGCCTTGAGACAGACCAGTGTCCA